TGTGTGCCTCTATGACTCCCTCGTGGCTCAGACCTGAAATAATCCACCTGTAAGGAGGAAGACCTGGGATCTATCACTGGCTTGAGAAGATCCCCTGGAGCAGGGCACAGCAACCCACTCCTGTATTCTTGCCACGAGAATCCCCATGGACAGAGGAGCCTGGTGAGCTATTGTCCATGGGGTCGCAAAGAGTCACACAGGACTTAGTGACTAAGCACATGACTCACATAGCTGTGGAACAGAAGTCTAGTGCAGGGAACACAGGTCCTTTCCTGGGAAGTGTCCTGGTCAGCCGAGGAAGTGCAGGCCAGGGATCAACACCTGCAGAGAAAGCAGAGAATCTTCTGCAGTCTGCCCGCTGCAAATGTCGAGTCCCCTCTCTGGGTCTTGTATCAGTACTCTTGGGCCACTCTGAGTCATTTTCCAAGTACAAGAGGCAATGGTGAGTTAGTGACCGTTGAGGATGGGCAAGCTGGATCACTGCCTCCTGTGGGACAGGGTCCCACTTTCTCCATGAGGCCTGGGGATGGCTGGCTGGGAGCATCCAGGGGCCTAGCCGGGATGGTGCTGGCTTTAGTAAGTCTTGTGAAACTCGGGCTTTGCTATTCTCTCTCTCTCTCTCTCTCTCTCAGTGAACCCCAGTTATAGTTCTGTTGCAATTCCCTGATTAAGAGAGACAGCTCACACCTCCTGGGGCAGATGAAGAGGAGAGGGGGCATAAGACTGCATCTTGGCAGGTGGAAGGCAGGAGGGCAGCCCTGGGCATCGTTCCTGCACCAAACACCACACAGGCACAGGACGGCCTTTCATCTTGGCCTGAGGGTGTCCACGGGACTGCAAGCCACCTGGATCTTACCCCTGCCACCGCCATGGCCAGGACCTATGCCGTCCCTGCTGCTGGTCCGGGGACAGCAGCCACATCCCTCTTGATGGCTCTTGATGCCTGGCAGCCCTAGGGGATGCAGACTCCAGTCTCACTAGTTCCTGTCCTGAGGAGGTGGCCCTGACCATCGAGAGCCTGTGGCTCTGCTTCACCTGGCCTCCTTCCCAGATGGCTCCTTCTGTGGTGGTGGTGGGCCCCACCACTGTGCCCACCCAGATCTTCATCCTGCCCCCTGGCAGCTCCCAGTGTCCACGCTGGTGCTTCTGTGCACTACCTCAATGCATATTGTGTCTCAGCCCCAGAATGCCTTCTACTACTGCTCAGGTAGCCCCTCTTTCCCATAATCTCCAGCCATTCATTCCCATCATCCCCACCTCCTTCAGGTGCATTCCTAGAGGAACCCAAATATGCACCCTATTCAGACAGGTAGAGGCAGCCCTGTGATCAGAACACTGCATAGCAATAAAGAACCTGAAAACACCAGGGGTTTCCCATCCAGCCCATGTCTTCAGTGCCTCCATCCTAGGCCTGGCAGAGCATTTGAGTCCCCTCAGGCAGCTGCTTGCTCGTGAAAGCAAGATAGATGGCCACCCACCCATGGCACCATGCGGGCACCTCATATATAGCTGGGCAAGCCCTTCAGATGCTCTGGACCCACTCATTTACAAGACACATCAAGAGTTTGACAAGAGCCTGGCAGAGTGGCTTCATGGGCACAGGGACAGTGTCCAGCAGGATACTCACTTGACAGATGAGGAGAAATTAGGCCTCTCTTTCTTGGGGTCCCTAAAAGAGCCCTTACTGTCCTGAGACCCATAGGGCTATATTGCATATAGGGTTATCGTTACCATCTTTCTAAATTCCATATATATGCATTAGTATACTGTATTGGTCTTTATCTTTCTGGCTTACTTCACTCTGTATAATGGGCTCCAGTTTTATCCATCTCATTAGAACTGATTCAAATGTATTCTTTGTAATGGCTGAGTAATATTCCATTGTGTATATGTAACATAGCTTCCTTATCCATTCGTCTGCTGATGGGCATCTAGGTTGCTTCCATGTCCTGGCTCTTATAAACAGTGCCACGACGAACACTGGGGTACACGTGTCTCTTTCAATTCTGATTTCCTCAGTGTGTATGCCCAGCAGTGGGATTGCTGGGTCACATGGCAGTTCTATTTCCAGTTTTTAAAGGAATCTTCACACTGTTCTCCATAGTGGCTCTACTAGTTTGCATTCCCACCAACAGTGTAAGAGGGTTCCCTTTTCTCCACACCTTCTCCAGCATTTATTGCTTGTAGACTTTTGGATAGCAGCCATCCTGACTGGTGTGTAATGGTACCTCATTGTGGTTTGGATTTGCATTTCTCTGATAATGAGTGATGTTAAGCATCTTTTCATGTGTTTGTTAGCCATCTGTATGCCTTCTTTGGAGAAATGTCTGTTTAGATCTTTGACCCATGTTTTGATTGGGTCATTTATTTTTCTGGAATTGAGCTGCAGGAGTTGCTTGTATATTTTTGAGATTAATCCTTTGTTTCTTCATTTGCTATTATTTTCTCCCATTTTGAAGGCTGTCTTTTCACCTTGCTTATAGTTTCCTTTGTTGTGCAAAATCTTTTAAGTTTCATTAGGTCCCATTTATTTTTGCTTTCATTTCCAATATTCTGGGAGGTGGGTCATAGAGGATCTTGCTGTGATTTATGTCAGAGAGTGTTTTGCCTATGTTCTCCTCTAGGAGTTTTATAGTTTCTGATCTTACATTTAGAATCCACCTTGAAGGTGAAGGGTGGTGCATTGGGCATATCCTAGCCAGATCTTATAAAGAAAACTCCCACTGCCCTTGTCCTCCCACTGTCTCTTCTCTGATACCTGCCATTCACGAAGGTCACAGCTATCAGGGAGCCCAAGGGCCACTGTGCAGGCTTTCAGGGAAGTTCCATAATGTTGCTGGCCAAAATCTTGGCCTTCTCTGCCCACAGAAGGTAAATAAAAATACAGAGACAGAGTGGGCAGGCAATAGAAAGATGGCTTTAATTCTCAGTCAGCAGAGAGGGGAACAAAGTAGGCTCATGCCTCAAAAACTGAGCCCCCTGTCCATGAGGAATCTAGGGGCTGATATAAGATGGGAGCTCCCAGTCAGGAGTCAGCGATGAGGAACCAAGGAGTTAGGATCTTGATTTATTTATCTTGCATTGTTTCAAAGACAGTCATAGACTGGCATCAGTAACCCAGTAATTGAGCCTGGCAGTTCGGTGACTCTGTGGCTTACTTCCTGATATGTAACTACAAGGGGAAGGGTGTTGTAAGGGTAAACACCAGACACATGGTGTATTTAGCATAGATTCAAAGAAAAATAGATGTGACGTATAGCTCTTGTGGGTTTCTCTGGTAGCTCAGCTGATAAAGAATCCACCTGCAATACAGGAGACCCCAGTTCGATTCCTGGGTCGGGAAGATCCACTGGAGAAGGGGTAGGCTATCCACTCCAGTATTCTTGGGCTTCCCTTGTGGCTCAGCTGGTTAAGAATCAGCCTACAATGCAGGAGGCCTGGGTTGGGAAGCTCTTCTGGAGAACGTAATGGTTACCCACTCCAATACTCTGGCCTGGAGAATTCCATGGACTATGCAGTCCATGGGGTCGCAAAGAGTTGGACACTACTGAGAGACTTTCACACTTTCATAATTCCTGTAGAGTTAGGGTGCAGAAAGGCAAACCTTAGTTACAGACATGTAGAGTTAGAAGCAGTTTAACTAAAACAACTAGCAATGTTAAGTTCTGCTCACAGGAAAGGGGAAAAAAACAAAACAAAACAAAACAAAAAAACCCCTCATTCTTCTTGCTTTCCTTTTCACTGTAATGCTAACACCCAGCTTCATGACAATCACCTCCCACAGAAGGAATCCAGCTTTCAAAAGCCCCAAACCACCCTGCCTCAGGCACCAAGTGTTCCTTCTGGTACCCCACCACCTCGCACCACATTGCCTTGTTGTGTGTGACTAGGGGATGTCTCTCCACCTTCCTCATGTGACTGCAGCTCCTAGACCATCACTCTAGGTGTGGGGGTGTTCTGCTTCTCCTACTGTTCCCATCGCTAACATGGCCTTTCACAGAGCAGAGGCTTCATGAGGTTCTGGGTGAGAATAAGCCAGTGACCAAGGTACTTATTAATTCAGACCAATTGTATTCTAATTTCTTTAATAACTAATGCAAATCCAACTAAACATAGATACATTTTAGGTTTATAGAATAACAGATAACATAGATTTTAGAATTAGCTTTTATTTTTGTTCTCTATTTCCTTTTATCTTTTCCCCCATGCCCAGGAGTTTTGGGGATCCTAGTTCCCCAACCACGGATTGAATCTGAGCCCCAGCAGTGAAAGCTCTGAGTCCTAACCACTGCATTGTTGGAGAATTCCCAATTTCTGTATTTCTTGACTCCATCAACTTTATTGTTCTTTCCCATTTCCAAGACAATTCCTATTCCAGTGAAATGTTAGCTTGTTCCGGGTCACAAAATAAAGTAGGAGAGTTCCCAGTGTCCTTTACAAAACAGCAAAACTCCTATCCTTAAACTGAGTAAGTACCAATACACGTGTGAGCCCTGTCTTTCACAAAGTTATATGTTGAAGTTTATTAAGCCTTCAGCTGAAAAAAATATTGAAAAATTCCTAAAGAAAACAGAGATGAATTTCCATGTCAGTGTGGAAAGAAGGAACCCAAAGATGCTACACACCATGTCCCCCCAACTGGCCCAGGCCCTCATGAGGGAGAAGGCTGGCCATCCCTCTTCAATCACAGAGGGAAGGATCAGCCTCCTTTCCTGCCCCCAGGACACACTATTGGGCATAGGATTGGAAGGAGCCTGGCTACTGCTCTGGCTCAGGGCCCCTCTTCCTCCTCCCTTGCAGCCTCTGCAGATGGGAGGGGGCAGGACCTGGAATCACCTTGATTGATTTTGAGCAGATGCTCTAGGACGTGCCACTTGCTGGTCTCTGCATAGGCCCGGGACCCCACAGGAACTCGTAGCGAGCAGGGTCACTGTGGGGTACCTACTGATACTCCAGGTACCCCTCCTGAACCCCCCTGGGTCAGCACAGGGCTGACCCACAAATGTAGTGCTCCCTCTTGACATATATGCCCATGTCATTCAGGGTTTCCCAGATCTCCTCTTCATGGGCACAGTTGCCCTCCAGGAGGATCATGCCTAGGACCACCACCAGGTTGCTGGCCTTGGGCATGCTGTGCCCATCACTCACCATCCCATTGCAGGTGAGGCCCAGGGTGGGGACTAGCATGAAGATGTGCTTTGGGTGATCCACCTCCCTCACATCCATGCTGAAAACCAGCTGTAGGCACTCTGAGGCTTGGTGGATGGCCTCAGGGAAGTGGTGCCCGTCCTCTCTGAGGAACATGTTTAGGATTTCATCCTTCGTGGTTGGATCTTTGGTGCAATACTTGTGGAACAGGAAGCCCACCAGCTCCACCACCAGCAGATGCAGTGGGTCTGGGTGCATGGACTTTGCACCTTCCTGGTCCCGCCAGGTGCTCGGCTCCTCCTCATCTTGGCTTCTGGAGGCCTCATCTTTGGATTGGCTCCATGGAGTGGCAGCCATGATGGGGGGTAGGGGAAGGGAAGGCACACTGAGGGCTCTGGGTGGAGTACTGGGTGCTTCAGCGTCAGCCAACTCCGGCTCCTCCAGGGTGACCAGGAAGAGGACAGAGGAGGAGGAGGAAAGCAAGGAGGAGGGGGGAAAAGGATGCAACCTCCTCCTCCTCCTCTACCTTTACCACCACCTTCTCCTCCCCCTCCCCCTAAATGAACTGTCCTTCCACTGGGCTCTCAGCCTCCCTTGGGTCCTAAAGGTTGGCCTCACTCTCTTCGTGGAACTCGCTCATGGAGGAATGATGACTGGGATCAAACAACAGCCAGAAGTGAGGCAGGGGGACAGATGGGGACCACAGGCATGCAGGAGAGAGGGGGTGTGAGTTGCTTCAGCTGAGAAATCCACCCCAGGCAGTGTGACACAGGCCACTGACAGGTCTCCTCTTGACGGGTGCTCTCGAGCCTCACAGGGATGCTCCTCCTGGGCAGGCTGTCTTCGGCTAACACAAAGGAGGAAGTGAGGTGGCTCCCAAGGGTGCAGTCAGCACAGCCCGATATTCCGGGACTGATATGGTGGGGGGAATTGGGCCTTGTGGGGTACTGTCTCTTCTGGGATGGGGAGCCCCTGATGCACACTCAGGGCTCCCACCTCACCTAGATTCCTTGCACTGCCTGGACCTCCTCTGATCTGCAACCTGCAGACACAAGCTTCAGACCTGGACTTTCACCTCTGGGTTCCTGGAGCCCCTGTGAGGGGAAACAAGGGGGCACCTTGGCTTGTAGACTGTGGCATGGCACTGGGCCCCTCAGTGCTGACAGGAGGACTGGGCTGTACTCAGCGAGGTTACCCCTGTCCTGAGGTGAGTGGTCCCCCCTGTGCTCACAAAGGGCCCTCCGCTTCCTCCTGGCAGGGTCTGGGCCCTCCTGACTACTGTCCAGAGGCAAAATTCTCAAGACACATTCCCTGTACTGAAAGGGAGAAACAGAGGGGCTCTGAATACTGGTCATGCCTGCCCAGGGGCTAACAGGGCTCACAAGGGACAACAAGGGGTGGCCAAACCCTATGGAGTCCGTCTGTGCTGGGACAATGGGCATTCGGCTCAATCTCCACCTTGACACCCTGGAGGGCTGGGGCAGTGCCTTCTGTTAACTGTGACCCATCTCCTTAAGCAACAGCCTTAACATTCATGACAATGGAAGTGAGAGCACCAATGAACCCACCTATTCTGGGTCACCCCAGGGTAACGACAGGGGCAAGGCAGGCTGGGTTCCAAGTACTGTGTGTGAGGAGGGGTCTCCCCAGTGCTCCCCCTGACCTCTGAGAGGGCCTGAGGCCAGACCCTCAGAGGAAGGCCCCCTGGCCTTGACCAACCATCTGCCTGAGGAGGTGGACCTCAAGGCTCTGATGGTTTCTAGGGCTGGCAGGAGAGATTTCTGTGGCCCCCTGTTTGTGGTGAGGGTTGTGGTTCCACACTCCTCCACAGGGTCTTCACCTTGACTCCTGGCAACTCCAGGACTCCTCCTGCTGCTGAGCAGACATGCTCCCCAGATGGCTGCCTTGGAGCCGCCCTCCCCCTCCAGGTCCCCTCCGCAGCAGGTGCTCCCCCACTCCACTACGCAGGGTCCCAATTGTCCTGTGGGAGGCTGACTCCTCAGTCCATCCTCAGGACCTTCACTTTGATAGCCGTGCAGCCTGTCCTGACCCAATCCTGACTGATTCCCCTCGAAGCCCGGACCTGCCAGAGGCCCCCAGAGACCCCCCAAGCATCTTGGCAGGAAGAGTGCATCACCCCGGCCTCTGTGCTCGGCTCCCACAGCCCTGCAGGTGGGTTCCCTTCTCTCTGAGCAAGGGACCTAGCAGTCCTCCACAAGGGCAGGCTCAGGCCTTTCCTGCCAGGCTCACTCAGGGGCCTCTCAAACTCAGCCCCATCTCCCCGAACCACAAGGTGTTGAGGTTGGGGCGGGGGGGTGTTTCCTAGTCCTGCTCCAGGTCCTCCTTCACTGTCTGATGGAGTCTGGGCCTCTCCCTCTGCCCACCTAAAGCCTCCTGACCCCTCAATCCAGACCTTTAGCTGGTCCAAATGGAGAGGCTGCCCTCAGGGGGGCGGCACCTGGAGCCACACACCCAGGCTCCAGGGTAACAGCAGGGGCGGAGAGGTGGCCACTGGGTTCTGGAGTGCGAGGGCCGACTCTCCCTCAGGGTCTCCACCTAATGTCCCTGCAGAGCCTGAGTGGCCCGTCTTCATCCAGATAGGCCACTCCTCACACCAGGACCCCAGCCTCTCTAAGTTGGGACACAGCACATTTGCTCCTCTCACTTGGAGGTGTCCCAGACCTGGAGGCAGGGGCAGGTTTTTCTGGGGCCACTTTTGTTCTGGGGCCCGGGGCCCCCAAGTCCTCTCTCAGCATCCTCACTTTCACTTTGGTCCCATGTAACCCTCCCCTCTGCCCACCTGAGTGCCCACCCCTATCCCAGGCTCCCAGTCTCTCTGGGACCCAGATGAGGAAGTCAGCACAGGCTGCTTATCTCGCCCCACGGCCTCCCACAGCTGAGGGCAGGGCCAGTTTCTCTGGGACACTCCACCCTCACCCACATTCTAGAGCCCAGGGTCTTCCCAGTGCACCCTCAGGTCCTCACTTTCAGTCCCAGTAGTCCCTAGGCTTCTCATCTGCCCACCTGAGCCCCCACTCCCACCCCGTTGCACCAAGTCCCAGTCTGGCTGAGACCTAATGCGAAAGTCAGGACACCCTGCCACGTGCTCCTCTTCCTGGGGCCTCCCAGGCCTGACAGCAAGAGTGGACTTCTCTGGATACCCAGCTTTCCTACTGCCCCACTTTTCAGGGCTCCGAGAGCCCTTCACTGCTCCCTCTGCTCCTCATATTGGCTCCCTTCAGGACCTGGGCTCCTCCCTCTGCCCCATTGAATCTTCTGCCCTGAGACCCAGGCCCTCCCCTTCCGGTCCCCATTCCAACGAGCCCACTCGGGATCTCCCAGGAAGGACACAGATCCTGTGGGGTTCTTAATCCTCCCTCAGGCTCCTCCCCTGACCCCCCATAGGGCCTGCTTCCTTTCTGCCTGACTGGACCCTCCTCCCAGACCCAGGCCCGCACTTTCTCAGACCTCTGAGGCAGACAGAAGTCGGGTGACATCACGTGGGGACCCGTGGCTTAGGGACTTCCGGGGCTGCGCTGGGAGTGGAGCTGGATTCTCTGGGCCCCCTAGGAAAATGACCCCTCCCCAGAACCCACTCCTGAGGGTCCTCACTTGGGAGACCTTGAGGAAATGCTGCTGCAACGGACTCCCTCCGGGTCAGGTCTGCGCCTCTGTCTAGCTGCACCCGGAGCACAGAGTGACTCTGCATCCCAGACTGGAAGCTGGGTGGGGGGCGCAGCACCCCTGACTGTGGAGGAGTGTCCCAGAGGAAGCACACCTTCCAGTGTTGCCTCTCTGCCTGCAGCCAGACTTAGTTTGTTCTAAGATTCCTTCTCTGCAGAGAAGAGGTTGAGCAGTGGGGTCTGCGGAGGTCTTTTGAATCAACTTTTCTAACTTCTTATAGTTCAGAGCACTGATTTTCACTCTCTTAAGCCACAGTCAGAGTCAGAAATATATATTTACATCTTGCCAAATTTCAGGAAAAAACATCCACTCTTATGCTGCCTGATTCACTCTGATGCTCAATGCTATTCTCTTATTTCTAGTCCGATCTTGATCTGCTATTTAAAGCATAAATTTCAGAAAGACCAGTTCTCACCCTAAGGTGAGGTGATTTCAAGTGGTTATTAGCACAGACACTGCAGCCCTACTGGCTCAATCATTCCATTCTTTGTGCTGTCCTGATCTTACCCTGTAGTTTCTGGCATCTGTGGCCTGAGACACAGTCTCCCAATTTACACAATAAAATATGGGCAGAAGCTTAAACTTTCCTGTTACCCATCCTGTCACCTGCTTCTATGCAGGCTACAGCTATATAGATATAAATACAATTTATTTCTTTCACTCTCCCTTCTTAGTTTCTCAGGATTTCTTTGGGGAACAGAAGACAGAAGCGCGATTGTCCTTTTGGTAGATAAATTTATAGCACTAATCCTGTAAGTCTATAAAAAATGAGAATTGATATTGTCACAGAATTCTGTTTCCCATCACTGGATCTGTTCTACTGATCTATTTATTTGGGAGCTCTTGAACCTGAATCTACCAGTAAGCTTGTGTAATGCCTCCATAAAGATCTTGTCTACATACTTGTTAGGATTTTTTTAAGATAACTTTTGCAATTTATTGGTATTAAAATGAGGCATTTTCTATTTCCTGTTCTACATATCTATTGCTCTGGCAGGGTAAAGCACTTGCTTTGGCTATGGTAATATTCCACCCCCTATTTTTCTGAACTCTCTTATTCATTTGACTATTCCAAGGGCTCATTTCTTTGAATTTGCTAGATAGATGATCATTTTGTAATATGGAATATTAATTTTTCAGTATGCATTTATATTGTATAATATAAAGCTATTATATTTATATAGCTCTGCCTTTCTGTTTCAGGGCAGCTTCAAAATTTAAAAGGGATAGATAACATACTTCTAGGACTTGTCCCTAGCAAGAACGCTTCTAACATTTCACATTGCTGTATGTTTATATATGTGTATATATGTATACATATACATGATTTATGTATGCTGTATGTTTATATATGTGTGTGCACACACATATATGTGTATATACAGCTATGTATTTATAGTTATTTTAAGTTGCTAATTTATTAAAGTCAAATGTATTTTAACAACACTGCATTGTACTCTCTGCCCCATGTTTAAGGGTTTGGACATGTTCTTTTGCTTTGTCTATCCCTCATCTACTTTTTTGTGGATATAGATGATTTTCCATTTATCATTTGTCCTTCATCCACGCTTATATGTGGTTGACTATTGCTTTCACTGTTCATTTGCTTTTTCCAATAAGATTTCCCTTCAATTTTCATAGTCATAGTTGTGGCCTGTTCTTTTCAACTTTGAGAAGTCCTGTTAAAATTTCTTGAAAAATTGTTTTTTTCCTTTCAGCATTTTAAAAGCAAGGTGCTCTCCCTGTGGCCTGCAGCATGTCTTCTGAGAAGTCAGCTGATAGCCTAATTGAATTTCTCTTGTAGGTAACTTACTGCATTTCTCTTGTTCTGAAATATTCCCTCTTTATCTTTTATTTTGGGCATTTTAATTACAATGTGTGTTGATGTGGTCCTATGGAGGTTGGTCCTGCTTGGGGTTCTAGGTGGTTCCTGAAACTGGAGTTCTGTTTCCTTTCCCAGGATATGTAACTTTTAAGGTATTGTATCTTCCACTATATTATCTAATCATTTCTCTCTCTCTCTTTTCTTTTTAGGACCCATATAATGCAAAGGTGAGAGTGTTTAATGTTGCTGTCTCAGAGGTCTCTTAAACTGTCCTCATCTTGAAAACTTCTTTTATCTGTTCAACTTCAGTGATTTCCCCTACTCACTCTTCAAGATTTCTGACCTGTTCCTCCGTATCATCTAATATACTCTTGATATTATTAGTGTACCTTTAATTTCAGCTGTGGCATTCTTCAGCTCTGTTTGGTTCTTTGCTTTGTTTTCTCAGTTTTGTTAAACTTCTCACTTCAGTTCAGGTCAGTTGTTCAGTTGTGTCTGACTCTTTGCAACCCCAGGGACTGCAGCACGCCAGGCTTCTCTGTCCATCACCAACTTCTGGAGCTTTCTCAAACTCATGTCTATTGATTCAGTGATGCCATCCAACCATCTCATACCCTTCTCCTCCCACCTTCAATCTTTCCCAGCATCAAGGTCTTTTCAAGTGAGT